AAGGCCGTTGCCCTGACCCCGGCCTCCCTTGATCATGAAGGCTGACCCCCGATCCCAGCAGATGAGTGGACGGGGACGGGTCTGGGACGGAGGGTGGAAACGATTTTTAAAAACATTTTATGCATTAAAAAAATATTTTTTTTAATCAGTGAAGATTAAAAATAAATAAATAAAGGAACTGCATACAGTAAATAGCCTGAGGGATAGAAAGCAGTTTGTTCAGATGGATGATGCAAGATCTAATTTATGCAGAACTTTATGTGGAGTACCACAAGGTTCAGTACTTGGACCTAAATTGTTTATTTTATATGTAAATGATTTAATTGAAGTATCTGACATCCTCAAATGTGTTTTATTTGCTGACGATACAACGTTTTTCTGTTTGGGTAAAAATATGGAACAGATGTTTGAATTAATAAACAAAGAGATTGTTAAAATACAAGATTGGTTTAAATTAACTAAGTTACCATTAAATGTTGATAAAACTAATTTTATGATATTTAGTAAAAAAAAGACAACTTTGGATTTTTCTCTCAAAATTGATGGTACTGAGATATGTAGAGTGAATGAAGTAAAGTTTCTGGGTGTAATTATTGACGATAAACTGTCATGGAAACAGCATATAAATCTTGTAAAAATTAAAATATCTATGTCAAATGCAGTATTATACAGAGTAAGGGACTTATTAAACAATGATGCTTTATATTTGCTATATAATACACTTGTAGTCCCGCATTTAATTTACTGTGTCACTGTTTGGGGTACAGCATGTAAAACCATAACAAAGCCTATTTTTATTCTGCAAAAAAGAGCTGTAAAAATATAACAAAAAAGTGTTATTGTCACCCTTCTAATGTTCTGTTTTGTCAATTGAAAATACTCAAGTTTTATGATTTGGTGGATTATAATATTCTTTTATTCATGTTTAAAGCTCAGAATTGCATGCTACCATCAAACATTCAAACATATTTTGTAAAAAGGAAGAGTTGTTATAATTTGAAGGGCATAGATATTTTTGTTAAACCCAAGTATAGAACCAGTTTAAAGGGTCAGTCTACTACTATACAGGGAATGAGTCTGTGGAATGGTTTGGAAGATGATGCTAAAATGGTGAAGTCAATGTTTATATTTAAGAAAAAGATAAAAACTGTTTTGTTGGAACAATATATATAACTGATTAATATCTATTTTGTTAAGTATGAAATTTTGACGAGTTCTGTATTTTGATGTATTATATATGAAGGTTTATGTTTAAATTGATGGTTTGAATTGATTTTGTTTATGAGGGAGCAGATATGATAAGAAATTTTCTTCTTCTGCTTCCTTTCATTTTAGATTTGTTTTTCTTTAATTTTTTGAAATTGTATTTGTGTTTTTATTGGAAATTATATGAAATGAATAAATAAATAAATTAAATAAATACTTATATAACTCATTTCTATCTTAAGACACTCAAAGCGTTTTACACAACAATCTGTGTCCTCATTTACTCATTCATACAGCACTCTACTAGATCTATACAGAGCTAAATGAACAGTGTGGTGAGTAGTTGTGGGTAACCAGGAAAATCCGTAGTGGACTAATGCAGTATTTCATAGTAAATGATCGGGGATGGGGGGGGGGGGGGGGGGGGTTGTCCAAGTGAATATTTTATAAAGTATATTTTCACATATAATTGTTGCAATGCCTATGCTGCTAACTCCAAATTGTCCCAAGCTGTGAGTGAGAGAGTGAATGGTTGTTTGTCTTGTTTGTCTCTATGTGTCCCTGTGATGGACTGGAGACCTGTCCAGGGTGTCCCCCGCCTCTCGCACAGTCACTGCTGGGAACAGACACCAGCTGCCTGTGTTCCGGAGAGAGAAAACAGGTAACTACATTAGATGGATGGACCTTCACCTCTCCAGGCTCTCTTCCACCTGCTCTTTACTCTCACTGCAGATCACAGCGTTTCTGCAGTATAATTAAGCACTGATGAAAAGAAAATAAAGAAGTTTTACTGGTTTGCTGTGATTTGAAGCTCCACATTTATAAAGTAGATAATTTTTCCTCCGTTTCATTAGGGTATTTGATTAAATACATTTCTGCCGAGTACACGACAAAACACTTGTTTGTAGCACTGAGGCTGGTCCGTGTGCTCCCTCCTGATGTTTTTGCATGAATGGTTTGAGCTCGTTCAGGTGCACCGCTTGTCTCTAAACAAGAGGGCAAAACAACATAAAAAAGATTCCTGCAAAGCGGCAATCACAACCAAGAGAGGGGAAGCTGTGCAGGGAGGTGAGGAGGTCACTGCATCAGGTTGAGCTGAGATCTGATAAGCACCTCGCAGCTCGCTCCCATGACGAGGCTTCCTCTGGAGTCCCGTCTGCGGCCGGCCGCAGTGATTACAGCCCTCAGTTTGTCCTCTGGTCACTCTCTGTCCCCCCGATGGTTGTCTCAGACACACCACTTCCTCCATCCATTGCTCTGTCTGCCTCGCCGTGTGTGTGTGTGTGTGTGCATCTATGTAAACCAGCCATGGAGCTTTTTCCGGGGGCTGTTCTGTGAGGAAAGGTTATCAAAACACAAAAGAGCCCTGAGAACTGTAAACACACTCGTATGAACAAATCTGACGGCCATTTTCCATTCCTGCTGTTCAGCCATCTTTGCAGTGAGCTTGTCCTGAGCTCTGAAAACTTCTACAGACCTGTTAGCAAGATGCACAAAACACAAAGTTTTCAAAATACCAAAGTATCATTTAATAAGTGTTTTAAGAAATAGAAGAAAAATCAACAAAAATCTTTATGTCCTAAAACGTGATATTTGGTATTTCTTACCGATTCAACTAAACAAATCAGAACTATTTGTCACTCAGAGACAAGCTGTTGGTAACAAAGTGCATAAAGATCAAGTTTAAAGCTGATTGTTTAATCTGTGTCAGCACAGCTTTGGTTCATTAGGAGCCTTCTAACCTGAATGACTCAGAGGTCAAAGGTCAGTGGCTTGTATAAATAAATATTAATTTAAAATGGTCAAAACTTTTTGGAAGCCCATTTCCGCCATGAAAGAAAAAAATAAAAGCCCCACAGGAAGTCATAATTTTGACTTTTAAAGTCATAATTACGAGAATAAAAGTCATAATTATGAGTTTTAAAGTCATAATTATGAGAATAAAAGTCATAATTATGAGTTTTAAAGTCATAATTATGAGAATAAAAGTCATAATTATGAGTTTTAAAGTCATAGTTACGAGAATAAAAGTCAAAATTATGAGTTTTAAAGTCATAATTACGAGAATAAAAGTCATAATTATGAGTTTTAAAGTCATAATTACGAGAATAAAAGTCATAATTACGAGTTTTAAAGTCATAATTACAAGAATAAAAGTCATAATTATGAGTTTTAAAGTCATAATTATGACTTTTATTCTTGTAATTAGGATTTTAAAACTCAATTGTGACTTCCTGTTGGGCTTTTATTTCATAGTGGAAATGGGCTTCGATACTAAATGCTATATAAAGTGGCAACGAAAAGAAGTATACATTACATACTTTTATTTAAAAGGTATAATATAT